AAGGACCAAATCTGGGTGCTGTTCCTGTGTACTTGCATTTTCCCTTTAGGCACTTTGTTTTTATTTTTCTTCGTAATAGTGGGATATGGTGGCCATCTTGAAAAATGACCTTTTATATAACTCCCAGACCTCTGTGTGCCAATTTTAGTCTCTTTTTTTTTAATGCAAAATGTACTTAAAATCTTTTAAGAACTGGAGAAACTTTTAAAATGGTGTTCCTTTGATCCTCACTACTATCAGTTCAAGCCATTTAGTTTTATTAAGATGTGATTTCCTCTGTGTAAATGTATATTGTCATGCAAGTCTCAATCACCCTTCTGAAGAGAATGTAAGAGAAGTAGTAGTATGTTTGGGGGTTTTGATTCAATGTTGCACTGTTGCATCTCTTGTATGAGATGAAACAAGAGATCTGGACTCTAACCTGTTAAGTCTTTGATAATGAGGGAAAAACAGTAGGATGAAAGAAAGTTCTTAGCAATCTCAGAACCATGGAGTGCACTGGGGAATGCTGTGGTGCAATTGTTTAGTTCACAGCTGGACACTTTCCACCAAGAAAGGCTTCCAGCTGGTAATTTTACTTGTTACCTGCTAACTAGGATCTTGTAGACAAATTGGTGGTCAGACCAATTAAAAAGAAATGGGGGGAGAGGGAGCTTTCATTCCCATTGATTCACATATCCACCCTCACTGGCTTTTAAATATTTACTAGCCAACTGAGCACTTTTTTAGCACTGATTAATGAGGTACAATCCACTGTGGTGCTTGCTTTCTCTGATCACAGAGAAGGAGGGTGTGGGCTAGGGCTATTCAAAAGTATTTTTGTCTGTGTTAGGCACAAAGGGAGGGGGTTACTTGAATATGTGTGTATATTAAATGCACATTCTGAATATTTGACTTGTCCCACTATGAAATGGTTAGATGTGATGCCTGTTTGCTCTTCTGCAGAGGCTCTTTGTCAGGTGCCTTCTCTCTGACATTAATGCAAAGCCAGACCTCATCAGCTGCTAACAGGGAAAACATCTGTCTTTCTGTGCTTGATCAATACTGTCCTTCAGAAGCTGAGCCTTGAAAGCAGTTACATAAAATACCAGTAATATTTATTTGGATTTGATAAATTTAATTACTTGGAACAATTAATAATTTATCTCTTTAGTATTGACGATGCCGCAAGGCATTTTGGTGAGATAAGCTGATGGTAATCAGCACCTTCTTATTAGCTGGACATTGTGTGTTGCTATGA